AGGGGGGTGTCGCCAAGCAACTTTAGGGAACAAGAAGGCAGACAAAGGTACAGAGAGACAGGGAAGGAGCCAGACAGTACTCCCCGAAGACTAGAGATAGATCTGTAGGCTACAACAGAAGCCATTCAGTCTTCACTAGTTCTCAATGAAGGAGAACCCAGCTGGCGCGACAGAGAAGAAGCCCACAGGCCAATCGAGGACAGGCAGGGGCTGTTGGAGATGGGCTAACAGCTAAGCTTAGCTGGACCTGGGAGCGAAAGAGGAAAAAAAGCTCAGGAGGAAAGGGAAAAGAAGAAGCCCAGCCCACCAACTTCACCAACAAGGGGAGCCATCGGGATAATTATCCAAGAGGCCCAGTATGCAGTTCAGCTCATAAGTGGGGAGCCCCCGTCGGTGAACCAGGCCAGCCCTCTGAAGAAAAGGAAGGCTGACCAAGGGCAAAGTGGAGAAGCAATCTCACCAACGATCTCTAACCTCTCTAACTTTAGTGTTGATTGTCTTGAGTTTAGCCTAGGTCAGGAAGAGCAGGGGAAGGGAAGAAGGAGACAAGTTTATCGGAGGAGGAGTATTGTAGCAATAACAGCAACAGAGAAGCAATCCGAGGAGGGACATGACCTGATCTCGAGGGCAGTGGTGGCAAGCCTGGAGCCACCTCCAGCAGCATGAGACTACTGAGCTGGAACTGTAGAGGATTTGGCCAGTCTTCTACAAGAAGCTTCTGCAAGAATCTCTGTCGCAGATCTTGGCCATCAATCTTCTTCCTGATGGAAACAAAACAAGAAGACTGCTTCATGGAGGAGAAGAGGAGAAGATTGAAGTTTTCAAAATCGGAGTACTTTAGCCCTAGTCGAGGTGGTAGTGGATTAGCATTATGGTGGAATGAGGATGTATCGATAAGGGTGATTGATAAATCTAGATTCTACATAGATGTATGTATTAGTTGGGGTAGCAATGTATGCTACTGCACTTTTGTTCATGCTCCCACCACATCAGTGGAGAGAAGATCATTTTGGGACAAACTCACTACCTTGAGGGATAGAGGTGATGAGGAGTGGCTCCTTGTAGGAGATTTTAATGTTGTCCTGTCTGATTTAGAGAAACAGGGGAGATGCCCCATTAGAAATGAAAATCGAGCCCCATTTAAGTACTTTGTGGAGCAGAATGGTCTAATTGATTTGGGATTTAATGGCTCGATTTTCACTTGGAAGAATATGGAAAGAGGGGAGGAAGGCATTAGGGAGAGACTTGACCGAGCCCTCTGCTCCCCTTCGTGGGGACTAAAGTTCGAGAGAGCTAAGGTCTTTCACGAAGTGATTGTGGAGTCTGACCACTACCCCATTAGAGTGGATTTTGACATGTTGGAGGAGAAGAAAGAAATACCCTTTCGTTTTGATAAAAGATGGAGGTTTGAGGAAGAGTGCATTAAGATTGTCAAGGACTGTTGGGAGAAGGAAGGAGATGTGATGAGTAGTTTACAGAATTGCAAGGCTCAGTTAGAGAAATGGATGAAGAAGGACAGAAAGGAAAAAATCAAAAGAGAAGAGGAGATCAAAAAGAGACTTATACAGATACAAGAGATGGACGATTTTAGCTCTCACCTCGATGAAGAACGCCAAATTGGAAATGAACTCTATATTATGTGGGAAAAGGAGGAGGAGTTTTGGCAACAAGTATCTAGAGTGAACTGGCTGCAAGGGGGAAACCAAAACTCGGCCTTCTTCCACGCGGCGTGCATTCAGAGGAAGAAAGCTAATAGGATCAATAAATTGAAAAATGGTCTGGGTGACTGGATTGATGATCAAGCCACTCTCAAACACATGACAACTTACTACTATCAAAACTTGTTCAAGGCTAGAGATACCAACGTGCTCCGTTTTGATATGGAAGGGTTTCCCAAGCTGGTCACAGAAGAAATGAACTCCGACTTGGGAAAGGAGTTGAACAATGAGGAGATTAAAAGAGCAGTTTTTTCTTTGGGGGCTGCTAAGGCTCCTGGCCCGGATGGCTTCCCCGGCCATTTCTATAGAAGATTCTGGGACATTTGTGAAAACAAATTTTGTGAGGAGATCCGCTCCTTCTTCAGGACCTCCAAAATTCCAGATGGATGGAATGATACTTTCATCACCATCATCCCAAAAGTTGATGCTCCGGAACAGTTGGGCCCGTTCAGACCCATTAGCTGCTGCAATTTCAGATACAAAGTGATTACGAAAATTTTGGCAACTAGGCTCCAGGTTTGGCTGCCAGTTCTGATCTCCGAAGTGCAGTCAGCCTTCACGGGCGGTAGACAGATCCAGGATAATATTGTTATCGTCCATGAAGTGCTGAATCACTTTAAGAAACACAAGATTGGCCGAAAGAGAGATATGATGGTCAAGCTTGACATGAAGAAAGCGTACGATTTGGTGGAGTGGAAGTGCCTTCTGAACTTGTTAAAGGCTTATGGTTTTACTAAGGCTTGGTGCAAGTAGATTGAAGAATGCATAACAACGGTCAATTCCGGGTCCTCTTCAATGGCTCTCCTTCTGAGGGTTTTTTCCCTTCTAGAGGCATCAGGCAGGGAGATCCTCTCTCCCCCTCCTATTCATTCTCATGACGAATGCACTGTCCTTTCTGGTGGAAAAATCGATTGAAGCTAGGCAGATTAAAGGGCTTAAGCTGAATCAGTTTTGTCCAAGGCTCACTCATTGCCTCTTTGCTGATGATACTGTCCTTTTTGGGGAGGCATCCTCGGTGGAAGCTACCAACCTTATGAAAGTAGTCAAAGAATATGGAGCGTTCACTAGGCAGGAGATTAATCCCAGCAAGTCAACGGTGTTCTTCAGTTTCAACGTGCTGAGGAGGAAAGGCTTGCAATTAGGGAGACCCTGGGTTTTGAGGAAGGAGTTTTCCATGACAAATACCTTGGAATCCCGACCTCATGGGGAAGGTCAAAAAAGGAGATGTTCCAATTCCTAATTGAGAGAATGGAAAAGAAAGGAGAAAGCTGGCAGAGTATCTTACTCTCGGCTGGAGGGAAAGAGATTCTTCTTAAAGCGGTTTTCCAAGCAATCCCATCCTACCTTATGACTATTTTCCTCTTCCCAAAAGCCACAACGAATAAGATGGATGGAATGCTGCACAGGTTTTTTTGGTCGGGTTCAACGACTAAGAAACCCATTCATTGGAGAGCGGGGAATGTGTTATATGCCCCCCAAAGAGGAGGGAGGACTGGGCTTTAGACCTTTCTCAGCTGTCAACCTTGCCCTCCTCCCTAAGCAAGCCTGGAGGGTGATTACTTCCCCAGAAGCTCTCTGGGTTAAGGTTCTGAAAGTGTTGTATTTCCCAAGAGGAGACTTCTTGGAAGCAAGAAAAGGTAGCCGAGCGTCGTGGATTTGGGGCTGTCTTTATGAGGCTCGCAAGTGGCTAATGTTGGGGATAGTGAGGGTGATAGGGAATGGGCATAGTACAAATATCTTTAAGGACCCATGGATCACCTCCTTCTCCGGTTTCACTATTCAAACGTTGAACCAAGATGAAAGACGAGTTGAGGAGCTGATCAATCAGGACAACCAGTCCTGGCATCTATCAGGGATGGAAGATTTTCTATCGGCAGAGGTTCAGCTGACCATTTCTAGAATTCCGATTGGTTCCCAGGGGATGGAAGAATTCTGGGCCTGGAGATTCATGAACAATGGGGAGTTTACTGTTGGATCTGCTTTTCATGCTTGCCATGATAGAATCAGGTGGGGAACCTTCCGAAGTCCAGGTATATCACAAGAGGAGAAGGACAGATGGAAATGGCTCTGGAGCTTGAACCTCCCTCCGGAGGTCACCTTTTTCATTTGGAAAGCGTCGAGAGGAGCCTTGGCTACCAAGAGGAATCTTTTCGATCGGCACTGCGCAGGTTCCAAGGCTTGCCCTTTGTGCAACTCTGAAGAGGAAACCATTTTTCATGTCTTGTTCGAGTGTCCTCATGCCAAGGATACTTGGACACGGTTCGCCCCCTCTCTGCCACTTCCACCACCCTCGGCAAAAGTAAACTTCTGGTTGTGGGAGGTAGGGGAAGCCTTCCCGTTGGAAGGTCCACAGACTGCTGTCTTTACCCTTTGGAATATCTGGAAAGCTCGCAATGAGATGATCTTCAGGAACCGACCACCTTGGCCACAATGCACCATTTCCCAGGCCATGAATGAGTTTCTCTTCTGGAAATATTGTCCAAAAAAAAGAAGAGAGGAACCACGATTGCCAAATCGGCCTACTCCACCTCTTTCTCACCCCCCACCATCGCCAAGTAATCCCCACGAGGTGATTCACTGTGATGGATCGTATTATGACGATTCCCGGGAGGCGCCATATGGGATTCTTGTCCTTAATACCCATGGTGAGGTCTGCGAAGGAAAGGCTGACTCCCTGCTCTGCGAATCAGCGTTGGAAGCGGAAGCAGTAGCAATTCAAGAAGGGTGTAAGTTTGCCCAAACTCTCTCCCCGTCGTGTATTATCAAATCTGACTGTAAGGTGATGGTTGATGCGATTGCTGGGCCAAGACATAAATGGCCATGGAATGTTGCAGCACGTATTGACGCAATCCTTGACATCTTACGGCGACTCCAAGATGTAAAGGTTTCCTTTGTTAGGAGAGAGCAGAATGTTCTGGCAAACTGGGTTGCTCGGTCACGAGCAAAGAACCAACTCCCGGGTGACTGGATTTCAGTCCTCAATGTTTTGCTACTAATTTTGTAACCTTTGCTTGATTAATGGGATTGCATAGACTTATTTGTAAAAAAAAAAAAAAAAAAAAAAAACCTCCCTTGCTTACTGCTGTGGCTCCGTTCCTGCCTTCCCCATCCATTCCGGCGCGTGTGGTCCACCACCTTCCTTCCCTCCTTCCCTCGCGCCTCTAACTTGAATCATTGGGTCCCACCTCAAACACCCTCTCTCTCTCTCCCTTTTGCATTTCTGCCTCTACAAATACCCTACCTCCCTGGTCCTCCACTTCGGTCTCCTCTACCTCTAGTCTGCGCGTTAACCCACCACGCACACGGCACACACCTTGCTCTGATTTCGATTTTATTTTTCCATTGCACACTCTCTGTTTGTCGAAAATCTTCTGAGAGAGTGGGTTGCAATTGCAAGAAAGATCAATCAATTGCTACTGTGCACGAGCCTTCGTCTCGCCAGCAAAGATCAATACCCTCACTCCCCACTTCGCTCATTCTCCTCCTCTCTTTCGGCTTTAAATATGGCGGACTGTGTAGACGACGCTGAGTTCTGGTTGCCCCCAGAGTTCCTAACCGACGACGACATCTTCTTGGAGAAGAAACCGCACCAGATGGGCAAGAAGAAGGGCGGGCAAGACGTTCTTGCTCTGGATAACGCCTTGGCTGCCAAGTCCCTCTTCAACTTCGACTTCCCTTACGGGTTTGGCTCCTTCGGCGTGTCTTCGGATCTCAGTTCCCCTGTTGAGTCGGTGGTCGGCTCAACCGAAACGGAGAGCGACGAAGAGGACCATCTCGCTGGGTTGACCCGACAAATGGCTCAGGCTCACACGACCCTGGAAGACGATTTCGCCAGAAGCGACTGGTTGTTCGGCGCCGGAAACGCCAAGGTACTGTTCGGTAGTCGTTTTCGAGCTTTATTTGTCTCTTTGGCGGGACTGATTCTTCTATTCACTTTTCCATTGCTACTGGTGATTTGAGATTTTTCTTTCTTTACCAATTTTAACACTAATAAGAATTATATATATTCGGCGGTTTCTACAACAGGGTCGGGTTTTGTCCGGATCCCCTCAATCCACGCTCTGTGGGGTTGGAAACGGTTGTGGGTGCAAATTAAGTCTGAACCGGCCAGTCAAAGTCTCTCTACTCTACGCCGCCGCCGGCGAAGTAGCGAAGATGAAAATCAACGGCGGAGGAGGAGCAAGTGGCGGTTGCGACGTTGCTTTTAACGACCAGAGCAGGGGACTATTGGGAGGACCACCCGCAACACCACAGTTGCCGGTCACTGTCCCGGTGAAAACGTCCAACACTAACGCTGATGTTGGGTTTTATCCGCACCAGTCGCTGTCTTACCAGCAGTTGCAGGCATCTCAAGTAAGCCGGGCGCGCTCTAGCCTAGTTGCTTGTTGTCATTAATTTCAGCTCTTCACGCAACTCTGCCTTGTTTATTAATTGCGGCTTGGTTTTGTTTGTTTCCTCTTGAATAACAGTTTCAGCAGCTGAGGCAGCAGCAAATGATGAAGCAATACAAGTCTGCAATTTGGGCGGCACCGCAGAATGATAAGGCGGTTGGGATTGGAGTATACCAACAACCACTGGTGCAGCAACAGAACAGGGGAAGGAGTAATAATAACGGGAAGCCTCTAGGTTTATCTGCCTCCGCCTGGCCTTGTTTGCAGCAGCCGCAAGTAGGCGGTGGTTCTGGTATGCGGGCGGTTAATCCTGGCGGGAAAAGTGAATGCGCGGGTACTGGTGTGTTCTTGCCTCGTCCCCGGAAGATATCAAAATCCCTACTTTTCTAATAATGATTGTGATCTTTCTCTTGAGTCCCAGTAATTACTAGTATGTTTGGTTTAATTGATTTGGTTTTGTATTGGGGAGCAAGCAGCTTGTTCCACGACGGTTCTACTTCCTGCGAGAGTGGTGCAGGCCTTGAATCTGAACTTGGACGAAGTTGGTGTCCAGCAACCGTATCAGCCTTGTTTGGGGTTTGATAAGGGTTAGCATTACGTTCTAGTACTCTGCTGGTTATTTTGGAATCTTGTTAAAGCGGTTGTAAGTAATGATCCAACATTACTAATTCCGTTGTTATTGGGGTAAATGGGGTTGCAGATGCAACGACCTTAAGGAACAATCATCCCAGTAGTGGTGGTGGGTGGAATCAGACGCGGAGCTTGAGCAGCAGGGCACAAGCAGGAATGGAAATGGAGGTCCGATTGCCTCAGGAATGGACTTATTGAGCTAGTTCCCTGGTGGGTGAGGGCAAGTTTTGGGACATCGGAAGGAAAGCAAGTATCTGATAGCGGTAGTATGACGAGGGTGTGATAGAGGGAAGAGTAGTAGTTAAGAAGGAAAAGTGCAGTAGACAAAGCATAGGAGAAAAGTAAGAGGGGGTTTCCTTTTGGGGAATGGTAATCGTAACAATAAGTGACGAAGGTTGATTTGTTAAGGAAGAAGGGAGTGCGCATGGATTTTGTTCATTATTGCAAGGTGGTATGTCATCTCTTCTCCTTTCCAAGTAATAATAATTGCAGAATTGGGTCTGCCATTTCTTTTAGTAGTCATGGTAGTATTGGTGCCTGACCTTGCTGGGGAGTCACGGGTTGTAGCAAGAGAGTGGTTTTGTAACAATCCATGAATCTGAGCTCGCGACGCTCTGTAATTGTAGCAGCGAAGTTGCAGTTACAGCCGGCTCTGATCTAATGTAATGGCCCCCCTCCCTTCTTACTTCCTTGTAATAACAGTAAATGAAATGTCTTTTTGCGTTGAAGTAGTAGGAATCGTGGAGCTATGCGGTTGCCGGCTGGCCGGGCGTCAGTCTTAGCCTTCGATGTTAAAATTAGGACACTGGGAGGTGGTGGGGTAATTGGGCATTGTTTCAATGATAAACTAAACGAGATCTCAGATCTTTCTCCTTTCCACCACTTGCTCTGTTCTTCTGTACAACAAACAACTCGTAGAAATCTTGACCAGGAAGATGGGGGTGGGGATGCAAGTGCAATTAGTAAGTAGCCGAGTTTTCTCTCCTCCAGATCCGGCTAGTTGCTCCATTACTGTCATCTCTCTTTTTTCTTTTTCTTTTTCTTCTGCTTTACTGTTTTTTTTATTTCTTATTTTAAATTTGAGCTGTCGGGTTTGGGTACTACTGGAGTGGCGAGTGGGGATTGGGGCTCCGGCCCGGGATAGTTCGTTCCTTACGAGTTAAGTTAGTAGTCTGAGTCTCTCTTGTTCAAAAAAAAAAAAAAAAAAAGTATTCTGAGTCTCTCGTTCTCAGTATACAAAATACTGTAGCAAGTGTGTAAAGCTGTATTAGTGGGTCTTCGTCTTTTCTGTACGTGTCGTGTGCTGCCCGTTTCTGATTTTCTTTCTTTCTGTCATTTTCACCAATAGGTTCGACATTTTTGGGTATTTTTATGTATTTATTATATAATAATTCCTTAAGGGTGGGTTTTCATAATTATCTTTCCGTCGGCTTTGCCTAATGAGGCAACAAAATGTTGTTGTTGGGAAAGAGAGAGAAATGTACTCGACTAGTAGATGTCCCTCTCACCGTGGCCGTACGGAGCCGGCCCGGTCGGCCTAATTTTCTTTCATCCAATTACCAATTTTTGTATATGCAGTTTAATTATTATTTATTACAAGTAGCGGCAACGTAGCTAGATAGATGGTGTTGCCGATTAAGGAAGCGGAGGTGTTGGGTATGCGCCTTCATGTGTGGCTACGGCGTCGAAGTCGTTGGTTGAGGTGTCGTTTGCTGCGGTTGTGTCTTGCAGTAGGGATGTCAATGGGTCGGATTGATCCGGGTTTTGTCAAACCCAAATTCATAGGGTTATCCATTAAAAAAATCTTGGGTAAAATTTTTTGAGTTCCAAAAACTCAAATCCTACCCAATCTGATGGGTATCGGCGGGTTCATGGTTGCCCGTGGATTTTTGTGTAAAAAAATAAAATAACAAGTTTCTTTCAAAAACAAAAATCTAACATAAATTTTCTCATACAAATTATCCATACATAAAACACCAATCTAGCGCATACAAGCAGTGACGAATCCAGAACTTAGTAGAGCATTGAGCCGCATTTGAATAGAAAATTATATACCGCAAATAAATTAGGTACAACATAACATCATAATCAACAACCATCATCACAAATTAAAAATTAAGATCCTTCATACAACCGATCGAGAACTAGAAAGGAGCATGGTATGAGAAGACAACCCAAAATCAAGAAATTAGAAGAGCACCAATACCACCATCGATCAACATGGCCACCACTATGCCCTGCCGTCTATCAGGCGCTGGCCAATATCACTTGAATCCAACCTCTCTCCCTTTAACCACCGTCACCAAAATCGAGTTCTAATTGTCGTCTTTTTCTACATCCAGTCAACGTTTGTACTTTAAATACAAATGCCAGTTGCAGTTGTGGATGAGGATCAATATGTTCTTCAATTATAATTTCTAATACTCTTCCCCGACTATAGAAGGTCAGTTGATGTTTCAAAATCACAACTAGTATGCTTGAATGACATCAATTGATGACATGCATTTTCTATTTGCTGTCTTTTTCCACCGTTGCTTCATATTGATTTCCAAATTCTGCAACACTCGTGGTAAAGGAAACCGGATCGTACCTGCCGGTTCAACCGGTAATCGGGCCAGTGACGAAACGGCACCCCTACCAGCCCTTTTCTACCGTGCCGGCCGGTATAATCGGCGTAACCGGCATATCCCGGTATCCCGTCCAGTTTAAATCAGACCGGCGGTAAGGAAAATATCCTATAACCCGTTTTCGCTTCCGCCATTGCTCGCATCTTTTTCATATGTTTCTTTCTTAGCAGCTCGCCGACGTTCCTACAGAAGAGCTGGGAATCGAGGGCCAGATTTACAATTTTATGACAGTCGGCACCGAAGAGGGCACGGAAGAGGCGGCGAAGAACGACCTCGGCGATAGCTCCTTATGGCCCAAAAGTACGATCAGACTCAAGGCTTTAATGGAAGAAATGGGCAACAATGATGATCGTCGATTTTGCAGAGTCTTCATCATGGATATGCAAGATGAAAGAGATTTTCAACCATTTTTCTGATGAGAATTTGGCTTCGATGGACACTGCATGTCTGCAACAGAGAAAAGGATACAAAATTGGGGAGAAGAAGATAAGAGAGAAAGAGATAGCGAATAGGAGAAATCAGAATCCAAAACCTTATCTCCTTTTGTACACGTATCTAGTTTTTATCTCCAAAATAAATGAAAAAATAATTACACCTTGTTCCCATTAAGTATGTGAAATCACAAGATAGTCCCTATAGATTATGACTAGCCATTTTCATTTTAAATCAACTTGGATAATTATTAATTAGTTACACATGTATTCAACTATTAGTTGATTAGGATTTTTTTTGGGATTAATCTTTGTTATCACTTAGTTACTTATTTTCACATTTTGTACCACTATTGGGTCTCGAGTACAAATAAATAATAATATAATAATGACGCTTTATTCACGCTCTCAATATTGAATTCTTTTAACATTCGACGCTCTCACGTTCTCGCTCCTGCTCTCGCTCTCACGCTTTCTTCTTTTTTTTCCTATTAATTTGCTAACTACTTGTATTATTTTCATTTATTGTCCGGTATATCCCGATACATCCGGTATTACTCCGAGACGGTACTCTGATTTTGCCGACACGGTTTTTTTGACAAAAAATATATTTTATTATTACAAAAACGGTATTTACCGGTACGAAACGGTTGAACCACGGTCGTACCACAAAATACCCTACTACAAAGGAATTTGGTATGATGTCCGATACGATTTCCTTTACCATGGTGAACTTTGTTTCTCCAATACAGAGATTTGGAACTCTTAAGGCTGGAAGCACTTCTGAATATCCCTTTTGTTTTGCTCGACTCTTATCTATTTTTGTAGGTTGCTAAATTTGTGGATATCTTCTTTGCACTTCCAATTCAGAGTATAATTTTGTTGATGTCTTTCTGGATTGCCTACTATCATATTAGATTTGTGAAGTTGTGAAGGAACTGGTAGAGTATGATTTAGGTTGATGGAGTTTTTGGTTTCAATTTAGATCTAGGTAATCTGAAGAGATTAGCGATTGGTATGAAGAGGCTTATTAACTACTAGTTTTTTACCTGCCTGTTGGGCGGTGCATTACATTTGATTATTTTATAATTCGTTATAATATTCTAATTATTATCATTTATGTTTGTTGATTTAATATACATGAAATTATAAATCTCACTTACCTTATTTAGGTAATGTTTCATACTTGTATACATTTTTTATTTATGAAAAATTTAATTGTATTAACTGAGCTCTTTGTAGACCGTTCTTTAGTGATTTAAAATTTTGTATCGAACAAGAAAAAGTGATACAGAAGTTAAAAAATTTAAGGTAAAAAACGAAGAAGTTAGAATAAGAAATTAGGATTCAATTAATAAAAAATAAGTGAAGAGCTTTCATTTTCTTTCGCTTCTCCTATGTCGGTATATGATAATAGAGAATATTCCGATCTTGATCTCACGAATATCGTGTATTATTAGTTACACCTGCAATTCTGGAATAATGATGAAACACATTAGCATCCACATCCATCAATCTTCTGCATACTCAATTAATTTATCTTGTCAATGTTATAGCAAAACCAACCACAAACAGAACTATTAGTTGTCACTAATTTATTAAAGCAATATTTTCAACAAACTAAACTGCATATAAACACAATTTATAATTTATAGAGAGCTGCATATCTCCTAAAGGAAAAAATAGTGTTTTTTTACCTAATAACAACATAGAAAAATAACGAAAGGAGCATACTTCAATACAACTCAACTCATTCTATCTTGCAGATTCCTAATTGATGACTCGATATTTGCACATGTTTTCCCCTTTGTTTCTTGATCGTTTAAGCTTGCATTATCACTTCTTTGGACTATTTTATGCTAGGTTGTGTTCCTTTGTCACATTTCAGGTCCTAGCATGTAAATTGAAGCATAGGCGCAAGTTTGAAGTCAATCGGAGATCATTCGGCAATTCGGGAGAAGAAACACGAGCATGACCTGAGGAATAATGGACTTCTACCTCATATTATGGACAAATAATCATGGAATTTTGTCATGAAAAGAAAGAGGACGAGACTACGAGCGTCTGGGATCAAACGAAGACTGATTCGGAGTCCGAACGAGGGAGAAACGAAGCATTAAACAGAGCCTGAGCAAGCCACACTAGCACGCCTAAAAACCCACACGGCCGTGTGACCTGGCCATGTGGCCCTGTGGAAATCACCGAGCCCTCACACGGGCATCTAGGAAAGTCACACGGCCGTGTGGCCTGGCTGTGTGATCGGGAATTTCTGGTTAAAACCCGATTTTCAGCAAAAGGAAAGGAGAGAGCGGGGTTTTGGTTCCCAAACACCCAAGGGACGAACCCTAGAGAGAGAGAGACAGCGGCTTGGGAACATTCTTGGAGCTATTTTGGAGGATTTCTTCACCATTGGATCTCGGGAATCAAGCTTGGAGATGGAGATTGAAGATCTAGATCAGATTTCTGCAGTCTCTCTCTTCTCTATGGAGTAACTTCCCTTCACTTAGGTTTTGAGGAACCCTAGTTCCATATGTTAGGATCTTTCTTGTATGAAGTTTTGGATGTTATATTGTTTGATTATAATCTTGATCAAATTATCTTGATTTATGCTTTAACCTATGATAGATAGAATCTGATTAGGTTAAGAGAGCTTCCTTGATTGATAGTGGTGAATTGGTTGTGCGAGAGTCAATCAATTCACTGCTTTGTATTGGAATTCATTCCAGTAGTGGAGATCTGTGTGAATCGCCTTAGCAGTCTATCCTGGTGAAGGCTAGTCGCCTGCCGGGTATTCTGTCTAAGAGGGCTTGGTCAGCTTAAGAGATTCCAAGCTAATTTTGGATCTTCCGCAGTTTAATCAACAGTAGATCAACCAAAGGTAATTGCAACTTGGACCTAATTGAGGAGCTAGGGGGAATCATACCTAAGTGAGTTCCCAACTTGTAATTAGTAGAGTAGTTAGTAGAGTAGTTTAGTAAATCAATCATTAATCTAGTTTGCTAGATAATGAACTGAAGCTGAGTAATAGTAACTCTAGAGACCCGTGGATTCGATATTTATTACTTGTGCCACTATACTGCAGTCCCTTTCATTGGTTACACTTGGCCATTGTTAGGTGTTGTGTCGTAGCGTGTCACTAATTTGTGAACTGAATCTATGCACCAATCAAAATAGTAGTCGGTAAGAAAATAATCATGTCAAAATCAAGCTTTAGTTAAGGATTTAATGAGGAGAAATTCACCCTAATGAAACAAACAAATGTCATTGCAAATGTGTAGAAATTGAAAAAACATCAAAATACACAACCGATGAACCGTCACCGTCATTTTCTTTCTTCTTCGCGACCTTTATAAAACCCACAATTATGTTCCCTTCTACTTATAATCCCTTTCCTACCTACTAATTACTAACCATATCATCATCTTATAGCTAGCTAGTAGCATGTCAATCATGAACATAAGGACTATAATGAACAACCCTCACAACTCTAATTTTCATTTCAACATCTAAGGAATCGGGTTGCAATAGGCATTTAAGTAAAAGATCAATTATTCAACCAAAAGACATATGCCCTAAGTCCAACCAATTATCCTTTCGAATCATATATTACCTATTTACATAAAAGTATATGACGTAATAGAGAACATAAAACAACTCCGTGAAAACGAAGAAGAAATACATTCGCTCATCGAGTGGGGAAATTTACCATCCAGCAGTTTAAATTTGGAAGAAATTAAGAAAGTAATGGAAAAAAGAGTGAGCAGTTGCCAGCTTCAGATCAAGGAGGAAGAGGGAGCAGTCGACAATCCTCGGTTTGGTTCACCTCGTCTTCGCAATGATAGGATGAACTGCTTTCATCAACATGCAAAATATGTTACAACTGCTCAAAATTTTACCATCTAATCGTTTCCTCGTGTACCTCCCTCCTCCTATTCTCCTACAAAGAAAAAAAAACTTCATATGCATTACCATTTCCTTCTCTATCTAATTTCTTATTTTCAATGTTGGAATTTATTTTTAGAGAGACAATCAAAATGGGAAAATGGTAGAGATAAATTAAAAGGTTGTATTCATAATTAATATGTTTTTCATGTAAACGGAATGAATAAGAAGTGTTTTAAAAAAATAACAATTATTGCTATGTCAAATGTATCTTCAGACCTTTTTTATATAAATTATACTTGTTTTATTTTATAAGTATATTCATTAGGAAGAAGTGAGTGTTTGATAGCAAAAAATATATAGTCATATAGTTCACTTTTCAAAAACGATTGATTGTCAAACACTCATTTTCTCCTAGGCCATCGTTTTAATTTTTTTAATTGAAAAATTATTATTATTCATATGTTTGCTTGTTTTTTTCATCAAAATGTAACTTATTATAAAGTTTTATTAAAAATGAATAGAAAATTTACTTAATGAGATTTAATAAGATATTTTGGGTTAAACAAACGCTATATATGTCACTCTCTATTTTCATCTTTATAGTTTGTTTAATTGAAGAAAAGATTATTACTTATGTGTGTTTGTTTGTTTAAATGTGTCACAAAAAATGTAACTTATTTTAAGTTTTAGTAAAAATGAGTAGAAGTATTCAAAGAAGAGAGAGATAGCTCCATAAATAGATCAATAAATAAATTTTTGTTTGTAAAAAAATTGTCCACCTTGGCATCTTGTGAATTCACCAAGTGCTTATGTGGCAAGAAGTTATTTTTGAATAGTCATAATATGAAGTATAAATAAATAAATAAATATAAATAAATAAATAAATAAATAAATAGATAGATAGATAGATAGATAGATAGATAAATAGGTAGATAGATGCTTAGAGTTTAAGAGATCAACCAATTTGAGTTTGGTATATAACATCATAACTTGGAGTTATATCGGGTGTATAAAAACCTTAATAGCAAAGTGAGCAGATTGTCTACCACTTGCACTTTCTGCTTGCTTTAAATTATCTCAATCCATCAACTTAAACCAAATCTTCAAAGGCATATACTTTGGACTAATTTACAAAATGAATTATAGTTAACCAGTATATTTATTAAAAAACTAGATCCTATCACATCAAAAAGGGGACACATAAATAACAGTATTTGCGAAACCACACCATACCGATTGTTTGACAGTACGAATTTCTATCGGTAGGTGGTTTGTA